AGAGAGTTGAGGGTTGGGACAAAATTAACAGAATCACTGGATCCTGTTCTGCTCTAACCCAGTGAAAAATCTCTGAATGGGCTGATAACTCTGTTTTTACATCTTCTGATGTTTCTGACAATTAGGCCTCTTATAGAATCCATGGATTCCTTAATACCTGTTATTCTTAACTCCAATATAATTCTTTTTTTTTTTTTCAGAAGTGGCTATTTTCTTAACTGATATTAGAAAATTTTCATAAGCTTCCTCTTGTCCCATGTTTAATCCTACAATCTATGAGACAAATAGAAGTCCTAAGACCAATTATGTAACAAAAGAAGGTATTGTCAATACTCACAGATATGCTGGGCACACTGCCACATGCCTATAATCCCTGCAGCTCCGAGGCAGAGGCAGGATGATTGCAAAATAATAAAGGGGGGCCGGGGTTAGGGATATGACTGGGTTCAATCTCTGTAGTAAAGGAAAAACAAACAAAACAGGCCAAAAAAAAAAAAAACCAAAAAACTAAAAAACCTAACAAACAAAAACAAACAAACAAAACAAAACAAAACAAACAAACAAACAAAACACCTCAGACATGCACTCCTAAAATGGCCAGATTCCAGTTTCTAGAAAGTACAAAATGGAAAATAATCATGGTGCATTAACCTAAGATGTTGAATGTGAGTTGATGACTGCAGCAACATGTTTCATATGAACAAAGGCTATTCCACTGACGTTACAGGTGGTACTAACACATGTTCTTTGTAGAGACAAAAGAGACAGATAAGTTATATGTGCTGCCCAAACCTGAGTCTACTCCCTTCTTCTCATTTGGCCCCTATCAGTCTGTCATGCTGCCAAGCACCCTCTATCATCCCGTAGGAGGGCTGGAATTTACAGCCCCAAAAAGCTGCAGCTGGATCAGCAGATTGATCAAATATTTCACAGGTGGTCAGTGTGTCTGGCAAAAGTTGGAATAACCTAAAAGCCAAACACAAAGCTGGCACTGAGTCAGGTGCATTTTCTGTAGTTCCATCACAGGGATATTTATTCCTGCCTGTGAGGGAATAACAACTGAACCAACTGAAAGTCCAAGTCACGTGTCTGTGCTGGTAGGAGATCACCAGAAAAACATAAAATCTATCCTCCCCATCCAGTAAATCAATACCAGTAAGAACAGAACACTGATTATCTGCTTTAGCTAAATCTATCAAATATTATGTTTTTTGTCTGAATAACCATTCCATCAAGAGTGAGTAAAGAAATCAGGAGGGTTGGACTGAAAACAATAAATTTCCATTCTCACCCCAGTGTTTCTCAAACACTTACATGTCTCAGAATCACTAAGAATGTTTGATACACACACAGTTTAGGCCCAATTTCCACATTTTCTGATTCCACACGTCTGGATAAGGCCTGGGGATTTGCATTTCTGATAAATTCCTAGGTGATGCTGAGGCCTCAATGATCACATTTTAAGAAGTATTGTTTCTTCAAGTTATATTTCAACATGGGCTAAAAGAATTACTAGGGGAGGATTATCATTCCTCCTATAATTCCTCAGGACAGGTCACACCCCAGACCAGCAAATCAAATTCTGTCCATAAGGGCCTGTTAAACCCAAGAATCTTTGGTTTCTAAATCTTCACTATTGATTTCAATGGACAATAATGTTTGAGGACCATCACACTGTAGAGGAAAGAGATTTATGAAAACTGAAGACAGAGAATAGCAGATCTGACCAAGAGGGGGGAAAAACAGTTTTAACTGGACCAGACATTATTTAACATACAATTTTTGTTTATAATGCAACTTTGATTCTTAAGTTACATGCATCTATGATGTCTGAAGTTACTAAATAAAAATCCTTGCATCTTCCTAGTTGTGCAAATCCACAGGTCCTATCTGTGGCTCTCTTTTTCTCTCAAATTAACATCCCAACTGAGTCCAATAAAGGGACACAGCAAAGAAGTAAATCTCAACATTTTTATAAAATATTTCAATTCTAGAGATGATTATTAAGTGTATTAGTCAGGGTTCACTAGAGGAACAGAATCAACAGGAAGTGTAATTATAAAAAGGAGATTTATTAGGTTGGCTTACTCAGCCAGAAACTACATAGTCCATAGTGGCTATCTGCAGGCTGGAGAGCTGGACGAACCAGCTCCAGTCCAATAGGCTGAAGCCTCAAAACAAGAGAGGTCATCAGTTCTACCCTAGTCCAAGATTGAAGGCTTCTCCCTGGAGAAACAGAGTCCACTTTGGAAGAGTAAAGAAGTGAGAGTCGGATTGCAGCAACAATTAAGAACCGCTTCAAGAAGATTCAGCTTGCATCTGCTGCTGCTTGCTTATCTTCCAATTTTTATTTCATCCAAGTCATCCTCCTATTGGACAGTGCTGCCCAGGCTTAGGGAGATTTCCATTTCAGTTGGCTGTTCTATATGCCAATCATTCCTAGACACACCCAGAAGCCTCCTAATCATTGGTATATCCTAATCCAATCAGTTGGCGATTCAAATTAACCATTATATTAAGTAATTATTAAAGGAGATTGATATCTTTAAATGCCTGCCACTGGAGCATGAGTTCTATGTGAGTTCACTGATGTGTACCTCACAAGAGGACATGGCTCATAGTAATCTCTCAACAAATACTTAAGTAAATGAATGAATAAATGCATGTAAAATGCATTAGATCATGAATAGCTATCTCCTGACCTTTGCTATGATAAAAACGCTTTTGAAAGCAAGTTTTGGCTGGTGATGTGTGCCTTTATTTTCATCTTAAAGATATTGAATGTGCATGGAATGGTACCTTTGTTATTTCATTGCTTTCAGAAATTTCCTTGCTTATATAGAACAAAAATACCAAAAATGTTCATGTTTCTCTTTCCTCTTTTCTCATCCTAGGAAGTCATTCTTTGATTTGCTTTTTAGTCCCCTATCTCTGAAAACAAATCAAACCTTCATCGTCTGCCATCTAACTCAAGACATGTCATCTAAATTGCTGAAAGGAGCTCTTTATGTTACTTTTTTTCCTTCACAACAAAAACTACCCCACTCCAAGACTTAAACATAATGCTAACCTAGCAGGGCTATTTGAAAAATAAATGGATAGACTACAATAGAGGAACAAGTTGTAACCATGAGGTTCTCCCTTGAGTTAGGAATACACAATTAGAAAAATAATTCTCTAAAAGCAGCGACAGGCTTTCTCTCCACAATTTCCAGAAACTGCTTTTATTATGGCATTTGCTGACTGTTTGGTAATTTCAGTAGCACCTCACAGTGCCACTAATGTAAAAGGTTTGTCAGACTTTCCATTGTGGACTTCATTGTGTTGAGGGTTTAAACATTTCATACTGCATCAGCCTAAAATTCTTCCCTACTAATTTCTGCCTGGAATGTAATTTTAAAATAGGAGAAATGGTGAAAAAAATCACTTTGACATATTTCCCTCTGAATTTCAAGCAATAGCTAAAACATACAAATGGGGTTAATTGTTTGCCTCATGCACCAATGCACACAAAAGTATGCATGCATGTATACACCAATGTATCACCTAAAGCGAAAGAAGAGAGAAGTTTTCCCTGACAAAAGAGAGAAACTGCTTAAATCTTTCCAGGAGCTCAGTCAGATCTCATATCATGAGAACTATGAAAATGTTTGCTTAATGACAATAATATTTTTAGTGAGAACACAAGTCATGAGAAAAGGCCAATGAAGTCAGCTGTAAATACTTACTAACAACTTGTTCTCTAATACAAAACATCTTTTTGTTATGGACTGTTCTGTCAGCAACTCTCTTGGCAAGGAATCTGACGAGCACTTGTCTTTTAGAGTGAATGCCATACTTTCTTAGAATTGCACCTAATACCAGCTTTCTGAATCCTGACCTCTGCCTATCCTTTCTTTACTTGTCACAGGTTAAGTTTCCTAGATTCAAGCTTCAGCCAAAATATAATACACTGGTGCAACTTGGTGTTGCAATATATTAGAATATATTATAAATCCAGAGAAAAAGGGGAAATAGTTTTCATATGAAGGTACATATGAAACTCAAAATACAGTTACAGGGGTGATCTCTAAGACCACTGTATATCCCTGAATTTGTGATTAGTGGCAACTTGGGCTTTCCATGTGAGGTACATAATTTCAGTAATGTTTTTCTTTTTTCCTCTTAAATTTTGACATGGTATACTAAATCTATCTTTTGATTTTGATGTTTTGTTATTTGGAAACTTACAGACTCTGGAGAGACCACCACCGACAGGTCTAGCAATTTCCTAGAAACAGTAAAGGTCTTGCCTGCAAGTACATGTTTCATATGCACACCTGCCAACTGTCACCACAAACCTTAACCACCACCTGTACTGGACACTCTCAGTGCTCCTGGTCAACCTCAGTGACATTAAAGCTAGGGTCACTATATTTCTGCCCTAATCATCCAAGGACCAGATACTACAGAGCCAGAAATATCTAAGTCCATATTGTGCCAAAGATTTCTTAAACTAGACATCCTAAACTGGTCTAGTATGCTTTGCATTGCCAAAATAAATAAATAAATAAATAAATAGATAGATAAATAAATAGATAAATAAATAAATTAAAACAAACTATAAAATATAGCCTCTTGTCCACCTTTCCTCCTCACCTCTTCTACCTTCTAACTTACCATGGTGATCTTATGCCACTTTCTCTTGAGAACAAGGAGGAATAAATTCTTTTAATGACAAATCTTTTGGCCTCATCATAGCTGAATAATAATAAAAAAATAAAGACTATATTAAAAATTAATAAATTTTATAATATAAAATAAAATTAAAAGAATGATTTAGAGTTTCAAAATTGTTATTCCCTACAACCAAATTCTTTCAGGTCACATAATCTTGGACATTCATGTGTTCAGTAGCATTTTAAGGCCGATCTGTTCCTGTTGAGAATATAATGGTAAACCGCGAAGACATAATCGAAGGAGAGGAGCGGCGGCCACAGCCCCGCCGGGCAGGAAAGGCTCTTAGTAAAGTTCACGGGTTACTAGGTCCAATGGACACATTATCTGCGGACCTTGCCTCTGTGTGTCAGCCTCCCCTCTCCACTGACAGCCTGGATTTAGGCCCCCATCATTTCTCACTTAGATGACACAGTAACCTCCTAACAGGTCTTCACACTTCCAAGGCATGGGTTTGAATTGGAACCTACTCCACAACCCAAAGGCAGCCAGCACCATGTGGTTACTAACTGCCCTTCATTCACCTATTGATGCCTCCCAAAAGAAGACTCGGCCAATCTTCCCACAAAGCTCAGCTGTTATTCCACCAGCAGCCACTGGAGGGCCCCAAACATCACTATGGAGCTCCACAGAGGCCCATCACCCACACTAGACAGGTGCCCAGCAAGCCTATAGACCACAGCACTATCACTTCTTGGGTAACACCTCAGTTTGACACAACAGTAGAAAGCTGTTTCCCAGCCCACCGGAAACATCGTCACCAAGACGAAGCAAGACATTCAAGCCGAAAATCTACCTGCAAGTTTCCATGTCTAACCTTTGAGAGTCCACAGCTGTCTTCCAGTTCAGAGACACTGGGGATCCCCTTAGTAAAGGGATGCCCCAATCAATCAGGAAAGGACATTTCCAGAAAACCCTTAATTCCAGTGCTCAGTCCCCAAAGCTGTGGGGAACTGTCAGCAAATGCATTTCAGAACTTTCCTTATGTGTTTATTCTGCCTGATATCCAGACCCCAGAGTCATCATCTGTGAAGGAGAACTCCTTTTCCCCAGATCAGAGGGAAAACAGCCTTGTAAGCTGTGTCCTTCAAACTAGTACTCCTACCAGCCCAGAACCTGGACCTATTCTGGTTAATGAAACCCCTGAAGAGAAGTATGGGATAAAGGTCACATGGAGGAGACGAAGGCACCTGTTGACTTACCTCAAGGAGAGAGGGAAGCTGAACAGTAGCCAGTTCCTTATAAAAAGCTGACTGGATTTCTCAGACATCATGTTCTCTCATCATAAATTAAGCTTCAGGATGGAAGATGAAATTAAAACCTTCCACGATAAACAAAAGTTAAAAGAATTTGCAGCTAGAAAACCATCTCTTCAAAACATCCTCGGCAAAACATTACAGGAAGAGGAAATGGAAAATAACAATGAAAACCAACAGTGGGAGGTAGGACACTAAAGGGGGGAAAATAATCAAAGAGGAAAACAAACCATGTTTAGTAACATAAATAAACAAATATGGCTGGAAGAACAACCCATATCTCAATAATAACCCTAAATGTTAATGGCTTAAACTCACCAATCAAGAGACACAGGCTAGTAGAATGGATCACAAAACAAGACCCAACAATATGCTGCCTACAGGAGACGCATTTGATAGGAAAAGACATACATAGGCTGAAGGTGAAAGGTTGGGAAAAATCATATCACTCATATGGACTTCGGAAACAAGCAGGAGTATCCATATTCATATCAAATAAAATAGATTTCAAGCCAAAGTTAATCAAAAGGGATAAAGAGGGACACTACATACTGCTCAAGGGAACCATACACCAACAAGACATAACAATCATAAATATTTATGCCCCAAACAATGGTGCAGCTATGTTCGTCAAACAAACTCTTCTCAAGTTCAAGAGTCTAATAGACCACCATACAATAATCATGGGAGACTTCAACACACCTCTATCACCACTGGAAAGATCTTCCAAACAAAAGTTGAATAAGGAAACTATAGAACTCAATAACACAATTAATAACCTAGACTTAATTGACATATATAGAATATACCACCCAACATCAAGCAGTTACACTTTTTTCTCAGCAGCACATGGATCCTTCTTAAAAATAGATCATATATTATGTCACAGGGCAACTCTTAGACAATATAAAGGAGTAGAGATAATACCATGCATCCTATCTGATCATAATGGAATGGAACTGAAAATCAACGATAAAAGAAGGAAGGGAAAAGAATACATCACTTGGAGAATGAACAATAGGTTACTGAATGATCAATGGGTTATAGAAGACATCAAGGAAGAAATTAAAAAATTCTTAGAGATTAATGAAAACACAGACACAACATATCGGAATCTATGGGACACTATGAAAGCAGTTCTAACAGGGAAATTCATTGCTTGGAGTTCATTCCTTAAAAAAAGAAAAAAAACAACAAATAAATGATCTCATACTTCATCTCAAAATCCTAGAAAAAGAAGAGCAAAACAACAGCAAAAGAAGTAGAAGGCAAGAAATAATTAAAATCAGAGCTGAAATTAATGAAATCGAAACAAAAGAAACAATTGAAAAAATTGACAAAACTAAAAGTTGGTTCTTTGAAAAAATAAATAAAATCCACAGACCCATAGCCATGCTAGCGAAGAGAAGAAGAGAGAGAACTCAAAATACTAGCATACAGGATGAAAAAAGCAATATCACAACAGACACTTCAGAAATACAGAAGATAATCAAAAACTATTTTGAATCCTTATACTCCAATAAATTAGAAGATAGTGAAGGCATAGATAAATTTCTTAAGTCATATGATCTGCCCAGATTGAGTCAGGAGGATATAGACAACCTAAACAGACCAATATCAATTGAGGAAATAGAGGAAACCATCAAAAGACTACCAACTAAGAAAAGCCCAGGACCGGATGGGTATACAGCAGAGTTTTACAAAACCTTTAAAGAGGAACTAATACCAATACTTTTCAAGCTACTTCGGGAAATAGAAAAAGAGGGAGAACTTCCAAATTCATTCTACGAGGCCAACATCACCCTGATACCTAAACCAGACAAAGACACTTCAAAGAAAGAAAACTACAGACCAATATCTCTAATGAACCTAGATGCAAAAATCCTCAATAAAATTCTGGCCACTCGGATACAAAAACTTATCAAAAAATTGTGCACCATGATCAAGTAGGATTCATCCCTGGGATGCAAGGCTGGTTCAATATACGGAAATCAATAAATGTTATTCACCACATCAATAGACTTAAAAATAAGAATCATATGATCATCTCCATAGATGCGGAAAAAGCATTTGACAAAGTACAGCATCCCTTTATGTTCAAAACTCTAGAAAAACTAGGGATAACAGGAACATACCTCAATATTGTAAAAGCAATCTATGCTAAGCCTCAGGCTAGCATCATTCTGAATGGAGAAAAATTGAAGGCATTCCCTCTAAAATCTGGAACAAGACAGGGATGCCCTCTCTCACCACTTCTGTTCAACATAGTTCTCGAAACACTGGCCAGAGCAATTAGACGAAAGAAATTAAAGGCATCAAAATAGGAAAAGAAGAACTTAAATTACCACTATTTGCAGATGACATGATTCTATACCTAGCAGACCCAAAAGGGTATACAAAGAAACTATTAGAGCTAATAAATGAATTCAGCAAAGTGGCAGGATATAAAATCAACACGCATAAATCAAAGGCATTCCTGTATATCAGCGACAAATCCTCTGAAAAGGAAATGAGGACAACCACTCCATTCACAATATCTTCAAAAAAAATAAAATACTTGGGAATCAACCTAACAAAAGAGGTGAAAGACTTATACAATGAAAACTACAGAACCCTAAAGAGAGAAATACAAGAAGATCTTAGAAGACGGAAAAATATACCCTGTTCATGGATAGGCAGAACTAACATCATCAAAATGGCGATATTACCAAAAGTTCTCTATAGGTTTAATGCAATGCCAATCAAAATCCCAACGGCATTTCTTGTAGAAATAGAGAAAGCAATCATGAAATTCATATGGAAAAACAAAAGACCCAGAATAGCAAAAACAATGCTAAGCAGGAAGTGTGAATCAGGCGGTATAGCGATACCAGACTTCAAACTATACTACAGAGCAATAGTAACAAAAACAGCATGGTACTGGTACCAAAACAGGCGGGTGGACCAATGGTACAGAATAGAGGACACAGAAACCAATCCACAAAACTACAACTATCTTATATTTGATAAAGGGGCTAAAAGCATGCAATGGAGGAAGGATAGCATCTTCAACAAATGGTGCTGGGAAAACTGGAAATCCATATGCAACAAAATGAAACTGAATCCCTTTCTCTCGCCATGCACAAAAGTTAATTCAAAATGGATCAAGGAGCTTGATATCAAATCAGAGACACGCCGTCTGATAGAAGAAAAAGTTGGCTACGATCTACATACTGTGGGGTCGGGCTCCAAATTCCTCAATAGGACACCCATAGCACAAAAGTTAATAACTAGAATCAACAAATGGGACTTACTCAAACTAAAAAGTTTTTTCTCAGCAAAAGATACAATAAGAGAGGTAAGTAGAGAGCCTACATCCTGGGAACAAATCTTTACTCCTCACACTTCAGATAGAGCCCTAATATCCAGAGTATACAAAGAATTCAAAAAATTAGACAATAAGAGAACAAACAACCCAATCAACAAATGGGCCAAGGACCTGAACAGACACTTCTCAGAGGAGGACATACAATCAATCAACAAGTACATGAAAAAATGCTCACCATCTCTAGCAGTCAGAGAAATGCAAATCAAAACCACCCTAAGATACCATCTCACTCCAGTTAGATTGGCAGCCATTATGAAGTCAAACAACAACAAGTGCTGGCGAGGATGTGGGGAAAAGGGTACACTTGTACATTGCTGGTGGGACTGCAAATTGGTGCAGCCAATTTGGAAAGCAGTATGGAGATTTCTTGGAAAGCTGGGAATGGAGCCACCATTTGACCCAGCTATTCCCCTTCTCGGTCTATTCCCTAAAGACCTAAAAAGAGCATGCTACAGGGACACTGCTACATCGATGTTCATAGCAGCACAATTCACAATAGCTAGACTGTGGAACCAACCTAGATGCCCTTCAATGGATGAATGGATAAAAAAAATGTGGCATTTATACACAATGGAGTATTACTCTGCATTAAAAAATGACAAAATCATAGAATTTACAGGGAAATGGATGGCATTAGAGCAGATTATGCTAAGTGAAGCTAGCCAATCCCTAAAAAACAAATGCCAAATGTCTTCTTTGATATAAGGAGAGTAACTAAGAACAGAGTAGGATCGAAGAGCAGGAGAAGAAGATTAACATTAAACAGGGATGAGAGGTGGGAGGGAAAGGGAGAGAGAAGGGAAAATGCATGGAAATGGAAGGAGACCCTCAGAGTTATACAAAAGTACATACAAGAGGAAGTGAGGGGAAGGGGAAAAATAATATAAGGGGGACAAACGAATGTCAGTAGAGGGAGCAGAGAGAGAAGAGGGGAGGGGAGGGGAGGGGAGGGGAGGGGGGATAGTAGAGGATAGGAAAGGCAGCAGAATACAACAGACACTAGTATGGCAATATGTAAATCAATGGATGTGTAACTGATGTGATTCTGCAATCTGTATATGGGGTAAAAATGGGAGCTCATAACCCACTTGAATCAAATTGTGAAATATGATATATCAAGAACTATGTAATGTTTTGAACAGCCAACAATAAAAAATTAAAAAAAAAATAAAAAAGAAAAAAAAAAAGACATAATCGAAGACCATTTAGAATTTACATTCAAACTTACTGGGATATGCAGACGGATAATAAAGCAATTACAATGTGGTATGATGGGGAAAAAAGGCTACATATGATGAAAAGTCTGTAGGGTAGTATGTGCCACTAGAGTAGCACTTGCTGAAAGCATTGGTATTAAGAGAAGTCTTTCAAAGCTAAGCTCAGTGGCTCACACCAGCAATTACAGTTACTCCATGGGCTGAGACAGGAAGATCACATATATGTGGTCAGCTTGGTCACTTTCTCAAAGTGAAAAAAATAGTGCCACAGGGGTCAATCCCCAATACCATGAAAAACATTTTAGAAAGTAACATTTGAGTCCAAGATAAAGTGTAGGTATTGGGTATCACCAATATTCCCTGAATATCACCTTCTTAAGAAACAGTCTCTGAACATCAGCTAATCCCTGAAT